ACACCGAGGGTTGCGATCCCGTTACCGGTCAGTAAAAAAAGACAAAAAGGAAAAAAAAAATTAAAAACAGGACTTACAGTGGTGAAAAGATAGGCAAAGATCCCTCAAGGAGCTTCTTTGCTAGTAGAGAAGCATATAATAAAAAAGCAAATAAATATAGAATATAATATCAAGTGATAAGTACAATGAGTAAAATACAATATAATACCAAGTGATAAGTGCAATGAGTAAAATAAAGCAAAATAAAGAGATGGGGGAGAATGCTATGTGCATAAATAAAAGCCTAGATAGAAATGGCACAAGAGGTTAATATTGATTATTTCTGGGTAGTATTATTAAAGATGATTTTTATTTTCTTCTCTTTTCTTATTTTTAAAATTTTCCATAGTGTATGTATTTTCTTTCTAATAAGGAAAAAACGATGTTATTATTTTTTAGAAAGAAAGAAGTTCTTTTGATTCAGAACATAAGATTAAAGTGAATAATTGGAATCTAAATGTGGAGCTATACTTAAACGGATGTTTAAACTTGTAAAATGATGTTGTTTTGGTACCTATTTATTTCAGAGTTCACAAATTTGGATGCTAAATTTATGTGTTTTTCTGCATTTACCTAATTTTGGCATTAATTTCAAGTATTGATAAACAGCATCTTGTAAAATAGACCTTTAGTAATCTTTTTTACTTTAATTTTTTTGCCATCATCAGCTGTCTCTTATTTAATTTTTTCCTACTTTTACTTCCTAACTGGTGTATTCTTTTACTTTTTCCTGAATTATGTATATACTTAATTTTTAATTTTTTTCCTTAAGCTTCTCAATACAACCAACAAAAACATTTTTCTCGTCTGTGTTTGCCATTGTTTGAATACTAAACTATAATCTCTCCTTCTTCAGTGATAATTAAGACATTTATAGTTAAATTTAGAAAACAGGTGGTCATGGGTTGTGTCCACATGGCAACCAATCCTAGATGCATTTGGTGTGGTTGCCTTTTCCTAGCATTGCCTTGTTGCAACTCTTGAGATAGAGTTTCTTTTGTACCTAAATTCTCAGAGGCTTGGTTTCTTGACAGTTTTCCTACCTACCATGGATTTGGCAGTACTGTAGTTTGGGTTATTAAAATGACTCCAGGGTACTATTAGAATGAGATGATTAGACATGTTTAATAAACCGGAAAAGAAAAGGATTATCAGGTCCTAGAGACTGCTATTTTATATTGTTCGGAGCATGCTCAGACCTTTCAATTGGTGTTTTTCCAGAAAGAATACCATTCACAGGTCTGACTGAAATAATTATCCAGTAGAAGGGAGGATTAAGTTGGAGATAACATCCTCGTATAAACCAGTTTTATACGTCAGAGATGCCATTTAAGCATAATTCATTATTGTTATGATGATAATGGTGAATTCAGGCTGGCTGCTTGCTTCCAAAGAATGCACATGTGTTTTTCAGGTAAAATATCAGAAACAGATCTACTCCATATAACTGGGAATGATCTAAGAAATAAATGAATTTTTTTTTAACTACTTATATCAAGTATTCTCCTCAAATCTGAACAGCTTTTTACTTTCTCAATTGTGTGAAGTGGGAATCTGCCAACCAGAAAGAACAATCTGTAACCCAATTAAGCCCTGGTTTCAGTTCCTTGTTAGACTTTAGTGATATTAGAATCTGGTTGTTATTGTTGTTCCTGATTTGGAGATACAAATAGAACTTTCTTGCCCTCTGTCAGGTCACCAATATTAAAATCATAAGTCTTCTGAAATTGTTACTAGATAAAATAGGGGCAAGATGTCATTTATAAAGTTAATATAGTCTCCTACCAGTCTATTTCATTCCATATGTTTGACATGCGGGTGATTTGTTTGTATGTTTGAAGTAGAACTCACTATTTTTTTCCTTCTATATTAAAGCTATAATTCTAGATCTCTCACAAAAACTCAACTTAGTGTATCATGAGTATATTGCTTCCCCTAAATCATTTACATTTGTATTGATTTCTTTTTACCAGAAAGCACTTTCCAGGGAACCAGCATCCATCAGGATAGGTATAGGTAGGGACAAGAGGAGAGTTCCCCCTTAAGGTCCATCAAGGTCTTTTAACTACTGTATATTACCAGAACTTTATGGAAAATCAGGCAGGAAAATGTAAAGAGTAGAGGGGACAAACAATGGCTTGTTAGAACTATCCACAGCTAATTAAGGATAGGATTAAGTGTTAAGATTATAATGTCCACTATCAGTTTTTTCTCAGCCAACTTTATTGAGATATTACTCATATAAACATACAGTTCACACATTTAGAGTGTATAATTCAATGGTTTTTGGTATATTTGTAGGATTGTGCTGTTGTCACCACAATCTAATTTAAAGCATTTTCTTTACCCATAAAAGAAACTCCATTCCTGTTAACTGTTGCTCCCCATTTTCTCCCTGCCCTTACCCCCAGCCCTAAGCAACCACTGATGTATTTTTTTGTCTTTATAGGTTTGCCCATTCTGAACATTTTATATAAATGGAATCATGTGATATATGGTCTTTCGTGACTGGGTTATTTTACTAAAATTCATCAAAAGTTTTCAAAGTGCATTCACATTATAGCATGTATAAATACGTCATTCCTTTTATTGCTGAGTAGTATTCCATTGTATGGCTGTACTGTGTTTGGTTTATCCATTCAGTGGTTAGTGGACATTTGTATTGTTTCTACTTCTTGGCTTTTATGAATAATTGTGCTATGTGCACTTGTGTATGTGTCATTGTATTGACATTCATTTCTGTTGGGTAGATACGTAGGAGTGGAATTGCTGGGTCATATAGTAACTCTGTTTTTAACATTTTGAGTAACCACAAAACTATTTTCCACCAGCAATATATGGGGGTTTCAATTTCTCCCTATTCTCTCCAACACTTGTTATTGTCTACCTTTTTGATTATTGCTGTCCTAGTGGATGTGAAGTGGTATCTCACTGTACTTTTGATTTGCATTTTCCTGATAATTAATGATGTTATGATGTTCAGTATCTTTTCATGTGCTTATTGCCCATTTGTATACCTCTTACAGAGAAAATGCCTATTCAAATGCTTTCCCCATATTTAATTGGGTTATTTGTCTTTTTATTATCAAGTTGTAAGTGTTCTTTATATATTCTGGGTACAAGTTCTTATCAGATAATTGATTTGGAAATATTTTCTCCCATTCTGTGGATTGTCATTTCACTTTATTAATGGTATCATTTGCAGCACAAAATTTTTAATTTTGATGTAGTCCAGTTTATTTTTATTTTTGTTGCTTGTGCTTTTGGTATAGTTTCTACTAATGATTGCTTAACCCAAGATCATGAAGTTTTACTCCTATTTCTTCTTCTGAGAATTTTATAGTGTTAGCTCTTTTAGGTGTGTGATTCATTTTGATTTAAGTTTTATGTATTGTGTGAAGAGGTGGTCCAGCTTTGTTCATTTGCATGTGGATATCCTGTTGTCCCAATGCAATTTGTGGAAAAGATAATTCTTTCCTCATTGAATTGTCATGGCACCCTTGTTGAAAATCAATCCACTCTCTCTAAATATAAGGGTTTATTTCTGAATTCTCAATTCTAGTCCATTGATCTGTATGTCTGTTCTTGTGCCAGTAGCACACTGTCTTGATTAGTATAGCTTTGTGGTTGGTTTTGAAATTGGGAAGAATGAGACTTTCAGCTTTGTTCTTCTTTTTCAAGAATGTTTTTCTATTATGGGTCCCTTGCATCTCCATATAAGTTTTATGACTAGCTTGTTAATTTCTGGAAAGAAAAAAAAAGCCAACGACATTTTGATAGAGATTCTTAAATCTACAGATCAATTTGGGAAATATTGCCATCTTAACAATGTTATCTCCTGATACATAAACATGGGGTGTTTTTCCATTTATTTAGATTATCTTTAATTTCTTTCAACAGTATTTTACAGTTTTCAGTTTACAGTCTTGCACCATAAACATTTTATTATGTTTGACTGTGCTGACCTACTAATATTATATTAGCAGTGTACTGAACCCTAGGATTTTGTTGCAATCACATTGTTTCTACCTGTAATAGCTACATTTTAAAAATTTTTTAAATTTTGTTTGTTTTTTCTTTAGGAACCTAACTGTGAGGAATCTTCATCTGTTATGACAGATGAGAAAGGGAGAGATTTGTTATGGGGGGAACAGCAGGATCTCCTTTCTGAAGACAAAGACAAACCTTTCAGCAGAGTTCAGGTAAAGCAGTAAGAGAAAGTAAACTAATTGTGATTTGGACTAGGGTCTGCCAATACTGTTGTACTAGTTTGGGATTGTAGATTTAGGTTCTGTTAAGTTGGGCAAAGACCATAATTTCACATTTTATTCTAGTAATTAGTTGGACTAGGGTCTGCCAATACTGTTGTACTAGTTTGGGATTGTAGATTTAGGTTCTGTTAAAGTTGGGCAAAGACCATAATTTCACATTTTATTCTAGTAATTAATTAAACAATCATATCATTTTAAGATTAATTTAGGAATTGTGTGGAAAACCTAGAGTGTTGCTGCTACCTGACATTCTATATATGTTCACTTTTAGAAAGTAAAATTTAAAAACCCATTATTTGTTGTGATGGAAGAAGAAGGACAAAAGCAGTTACATCTTAAGGGCCTTCAGGATATTCTGCCAGAAGCCCAGAATTATCTTCCAGAAGCCCAAGGTGATCTGAAAATCCAGGGTGATTTGACAGGAATCCAGAGTGTTGAGCTGGAAGCTCACAGTGTTGAGTCGGATAGCAAGGCTGTTGAGCCAGAAGGCCAGGCTGTTGAGCCACAAGACCAGGCTGTTAAGACAGAAACTCAGGGTATTATGCTGAAATCCCAGAATACTGAGCTAGAAAATGGGAATATTGTGGTAGAAGCCCAGGATTTTCTACTCCAAAACCAGATTTTTCTACCCAAAAACCTGTGTGTTCTCCCCAAAGACCAGAATATTTTACCTAAATGTCAGGACCAGGATTTTGTCTCTAAAGACCAAGATTTTCTACCCAGAGACCAGCATCTTTTCCCCAAAGACCAGAATATTCTACCCAACTATCAGGACCAGGAATTTTTCTCTGAAGACCAGGATTTTCTACGCAGAGATCAGCGTGTTTTCCCCAAAGACCAGAATATTGTGCCTAAGTGTCAGGACCAGAATTTTCTCCCTAAAGACTGGGATTTTCTCCTCAGAGACCAGCATGTTCTCCCCAAAGACCAGAATATTGTACCCGAATGTCAGGACCAGGATTTTCTACCTAAAGACCAAGATTTTCTACCCAGAGACCAATGTGTTTTCCCCAAAGACCAGAATATTCTACACAAATATCAGGATCAGGATTTTCTCTCTAAAGACCAGGAGCTTCTACCTAGAGACCTATATGTTCTCCCAAAAAACCAGAATATTCAACCTAAATGTCAAGACCAGGACTTTCTACCTAAAGACCAGGATTTTCTACCCAGAGACCAGAATATTCTACCAAAATGTCAGGACCAGGATTTCCTATGCAAAGATCAGGTAAAATAGAGTGTAAAGGAGATAAAACAAGAAGAAATAAGCTACTTAGGGTTTGAAGTGGGATTTGTAAGGACTATATTATAGCTGTTTTGGAGATCCATAGATGGAAAAAATAGTTTATTGGTTGATTTCTCAAAACTACAGGGTTCTTACTAAGTGTTAAAGTACTAATAGCAGCATATTGCCCCTATATGGACAATTTACTTTTTTAAAAAAATCTTCTTCTAGGAAAAATATTTCTGGTAGCCAGCATCTGCTTTGACAGCTGAAAGATGGAAAGAGGAGTGGCCCACAAGTACCCAACAGTATCTTTCATGCAGGTTTCAAGACCAGCCCTCTACCAGAGATCAGTTAGACCAAAAGGAAGAAGAAAGGGATCAATAGGAAGTAAATTACTTAGGGTTGTGGTTGGGCTTTTGTGGAATAGGGTGTAGATTTTTGTTTTATCACATAAGATACCCAATTATACTCTGATCTCAGTTAATGCCAGAGTTCTCACTAAAGTCTAAGTCTTAGTTAAACTGTCATTCTTAACTGAACAATTGATATTTTGTGTTTGTTCTTTTTTAGAAAACAGATTTGAAGCAGCCAGCATTAATTTTGATAGGTAGGAGAAAATGAGAGGCGTTTCCTCCAGATGTTCCTCAGGATCATCTATGCAGGCATTTCCAAGCCTCCATCAAAGGCAAGGTAGAACAGAAAAAAGACAGAGATTAGCAGGGAGTGAATTGCTTAGAGTTTAGTTTGTAGCTTGCAAAGATTGTTCTCAGCTAAACTTCAGACCTGAGGAAAAATATGGTTTTCTGTTGTATTCCATAATATTTCACATTACCCTGAGTTAAATAAATTACCTCAAGGCTCACAATAAAGCCTAGAATATTATTGCTATTATATTCTTCTGCTGGATAATTTACAGTTTGTGTTTTTTTCTCTTTTAGAAAGTACATTTTAAAGAGCCACACTGTGATATGACAGATGAGGAAGGAAGAGAAGGCTTTTCTCCAGCTGGTTGTCAGTATCTACCTCCTAAACCCCAGAAGCAGAACTTCATCAGAGATCAGGTAGAGCAGAATAAAAAAGAGATAAAGAAATAGGAAATAAAGTAACTGGGTTTTATAAATTCTCAGTAACTTCTAATTTGAAACATAGAATCAGGGACTATGGAGCCAACCTAAGAATATAGTATCTTTTATTTCTTCCCACATTAGTCCTAATAGTTACAATAAGAACAGAAGCCCTGCTTCAGGAAGGATGGGCACAGAGTGTTAAACCCTAAACAATTCAGTTCCTGCTGGTCTCTCTCCTTTTTTTTCTGTTCTACCTTGCACCTAATAGTATGAAAGACCCTAGTCTAGTGACCTGGGCTAGTGACCCTGGTCTGTTGATCAAATCAGTTCCATCATTCAGAAGGCCAACATCACATTTACATCTTATTCCAGAATCAGTTACACTATTTTAATTTACCAAGATTATTCTTCAACTCTTGCTGAAGCCCACAGTATTATCACAAGCATATACTGCCCCTACATGAACAAGGTAGGTAGAAGTAGCGGATCCTAAATTAAGATTTGGGAGTTTGTTAGACTGTTTTGCCCACGGTTTGGGATTAAGAATTGAAGTCTACAGAGTTGGGATCTCGCTCATATAAAAATGTATCAGAATATTTTTACTTGGTACCATTTCCCTGTAGTTCTCACTGAAGCTTATGATATTATGATTAGCATATTGCCCTGGTTAGACTATTTGTTTTCTGGTTTTGTTGTTGATAGAGTTTGGATGTGTTTTCCCCACCAAAACTCATGTGGAAATCTGATCCCCAATGTGGCAGTGCTGGAATCTGTTTGAGTCATGGGGGCAGATCCCTCATGAATTGATTAATGCTCTCCCTGGGGGAGGAGAGGTAGTGAGTGAATTCTCACTCTATTAGTTCCTGCGAGAGCTAGTTGTTTAAAAGACCTTGGCACCTTCTGTCCCATCCCTCATGAATTGATTAATGCTCTCCCTGGGGGAGGAGAGGTAGTGAGTGAATTCTCACGCTATTAGTTCCTGCGAGAGCTAGTTGTTTAAAAGACCTTGGCACCTTCTGTCCCTCTCTCTTGCTGTGTGATCTGCTTGTACCCACTGGCTGCCTGCCACTTTCTGCCATGAGTGGAAGCAGCCTGAGGCCTGTGCCAGATGCAGCTGTCTCAGAATCGTAAGCCAGATAAACCTCTGTTCTTTATAAATTATGCAGTCTCAGGTATTTCTGTTATAGCAACACAAACGGACTAATACAGTTGTTCCGTTAGAACATGTTTCTCACCAGTTCTCATCTTTTATGAGAGAACAGAGAATGAGAGAGGAATTTCCTCTGGAGTATCATCAGTATGTTACACCTAAAATCCTGGACCAAGCCTGCCCTGAGAACAGGTAGAGTAGAATACAGTAAGAGGACTGTATACTTTCTAAACAAGAAATAAGACTAAATTACTTAGGATTGGGGCTGAAGCTTGTCAAGCTAGCTTGTTTGTGGGATACATAAAATTAAGGTCTCCAGAGTTAGGCTAAGAGTGTAATGTCTTCAGTTATTTTAAAATGTGCCAGAAAAATCTTGGATTTGCTTTAAAATACTCAAAGAAAAAAGTTGGAGGAGAGTGTCACCTCTCCCCATCGGTGACAGAGATGCAAAGGATTACTTAAAGCCCATTTCTTCTGAGCAGTGAGAAGCCCCGAAGTGACTGCCTTTCAGCAACTCTCTTGTTAGGAGAAAAAGCTAAATGTGACAGCCCTGATTCAAAGTTAGCTTCTCCCTTTTATTGTAAAGACAAGGAATTTTCACAAAAAAATTCAGTTGATTTAATCATTACAAATAACACAAGGACATGGGCATAGTTATGGCTAAGTATAGTTTTAACAATGGAAACTAGTAACATTAGTGAAATGAACAAAGTAACATTCCATAATGCAATTTGTAAAAGGTTAAGTTGATCCACCAACAAAAGCTTGTTCTGAGCAAGCATTTTCTTTTCCTACAGCAATGTCCTCAGTATATTTACATAACAATTAATCAACTTTCTCAGCATATCAATCAGTAGGTTAACCTACACTAAGGACATCTGCCCTTTGAGCCAGCAATTCTGCTGTTACAATTCTTTATCTACAACAGAGAGTTTAGCCTGAGGAAAGTTTCTGTCTTTTGCAAGCTTAACATTTCTATATGTAATTTTAAAAAGTTAGGTCCTGTGAAATACATTTGTTTTATTAATGTTAGTATTCTCCACAGGAGAGATTAAAAAGCAGAGTGTTGATAATTGTTGAAGTTGACTGATGGATATGTTGGAACTTGTTATACTATTTTTTTCTACTTTGATATATGTTTGAAAACTTTTATGTTAAACACACACACCACACACATGCACACCCATTACTGTGTTTTATTATCCTTATCTAGTGTGATTACTCTGGGATTGTCACTGAAGTCTATAATAGTGTCACCAGCCCTTCATTTCTGCTTAGACAATCAGTTTTGTATTTTATTATTCCTTTGGAACAATTATATCAAACAACTCTCATCTTTTGAAAAATGGGAGATTGTAAGAGGAGTTGCTTCTGGAATACCATAGGTATGTTTTACCCAATATTCAAGACCTAGCCTCTCCCAGAGAATAAGTACAGCAGAATATAGTGAAAAGTAAGTAGCAGAGAGTAAATTGCTTAGCTTTTGGCTCAAGATTGACAGGGTGGTGTAGTAACTGCTTTGGAAGTTAGCGTTAAGTTCAGTAATAATGGGCAAAGAGTATAATTTCTTCTTTTGTGATGTATCACACCATTCTGACCTATTGAAACTACTTCAGGCCTCTTTGCTGAAGCTTTTACTATTGCCATAGGCATGGTACTTCTGCTTGGATAATTTATGTTCAATGTTTATGTTGTCTTTTAGCACAGGAACAATGTGCAGGCATCACATGATATGACAGATGAGAGATGGAGAAAGGAGTTATTTCCAGAGAGCCATGTATATATTTTACATGAAATTCAGGATCCAGGCTCTGCCAGAGAGCAGGTACAGCAGAGTATAGTAAAGAGTAAGCAGCAGAAAGTAAATCATTTAGAGTTTGGGCTGGGCTTGTCAGAGCTATGTTACTAACCAAGATGATTATGATAGTGTTCTCTGTTATTAATATTAGCAATAGAATTATTATGAATAACAGCTTATGTTCCTTGAACACTCACCATAGTCAAAACCATCTTAGAATTTTGTATGCATTATCTCATTTAATTCTCACAGTAAACCTGTGGGATAGATACTATTATTATCTTTATTTTATTAATTTTACTTTTTTTTTTAGAATATCTTTACAGTAATATATTCATAAGAAATCATTTAGATTTACAAGGATTTAGAAATATTTTCTCTCCATAGACCATAATCCTCCAAGTTTTCTTATTTTTAAAAATTTTTTTCTGAGGTATATTTATTGTACATAATTATGAGGTACATAGTTATATTTCTTTTTTTTTTTTTTTTTAAAGATGACCGGAAAGGGGATTTTAATCCTTGACTTGGTGTTGTCAGCACCACGCTCAGCCAG